GTAAACTTAGTCTTCTGAGTTTATTACTTTAGGGGATATGGAGATCTTTTATTAACAGGAGATCATGTTCCTAACTGGATTATGGAACACTCTTGAATCCAAAGGATTAAGGATTCTTTTAACCAGAAATGTACCTCATTCATCCCTATATTCCTAGGGCCCAACAAAGGGCTGGAAGTGTGTAGAAGGTGCTCAAGAAATGTGTGATAAATTGAATTCAGTTAATAAAAGTGAGGATGACCAAGGATTTCCAATCACCCTTCCTATTGATCCATCTATAGAACAGGCCACTGAGGCAGGCCCAGCACCAACATTTTCTTACCATCAGGCATGAGTTCCAGCACCAGTGTGGCGTAGGCATAGTTTGTGCAGCCGACTTCAGTGCCACAGTATTTCATACACTCGGAAGGTACAACACACGCCACCCTGTCTGAGGAGGAGTTCAGAGGGGAATTCAATGAGCTGGGGTCAAATAGGCACAAACCATGATCATTAGACACACACAGTGTAGATTTGAAAAGGAATGAGATGTTTGTCTAAAACTTGGAGACTCAGTGTTGGATAGTGATTGCCAAGTGTTCACATCACAGATGTGGCCGATCTGAAAGTTGAATGAACACAGCTTCCCAAGTGTCGCACACCTGCAGTTCTCCCTTTCACGGACCCAAAGAAAAAGGCTCTTCTTTGGAATGAATGTCGAGATAGAGCACAGAGCAAACAGAGGGAGCTGACCATCCTCTAGAAAAGCAGCAGGAGAATACAATCTCCCATGAAAGCAAAATGCTGTAAATCAAAAAACAAAACAAAACAAGAAAATAACACTAACCTGGGTCTAGTCCCATTTTGCCCAGAGTCTTTTCATCTAAGAAAAGTTACAGATTGTGATGATCAATTGGGTGGCTGCATTTGTACGCTATCTCACTTCACTGTGGCAATAGCACAATACTTTGGTTGTTGTTTTGTGCTTGAACATAACTTGAAAATAGAGAGTAAAAATTGATGATTACCCAGAATACTAAAATACCTTAAAATATTACCTCTTTTTCTTTTAAAAAAAAAATTTCTTTCTAATCCTTTTCTACAGAGGAATGCATTTTTTTTTCATAACTACAGAAGGCGCTTAGATAAAATGTTATAGCTGCCTTTTTTCATTTAACACGTCAGAATTTTCCCAAGTTTTGAGTTAGTCTTTATTCTCCCCACCCCCAATTTTATTTATTTATAATTTTATTGTGCTTTAGGTGCAAATTTATAGAGGAAAATTTGTTTTATATTCAGCAGTTCGAGTACATTTGATTTCACATCCCATTTACCATCCCTGACCATAATAAACTCTCCTCCCCTCCCATTCCCTGTGACTACCCATTTCCTGTGCCCTTCTTAACTTTGCACTCCTGTCCGTCCAGGTTTCCCTCTGTGTGAATGCTGTCCCTCTGGTGCCCCATGGCTGATTGTTCTAAGGGGTGTATCTCCCTAGAATAGGTGAGTGTCTCACCTTGGGATAGGTGTTCTGCATGTGGTGGGACCCCCAGGACTATGGCCCCGGGTTACCCTGCAGGTCTAGAATTGAACTCACTCCCATTGTCTTTATTCTTTTCATTATAATTTTGCATAGAACAGATATAAATTATTTTTTTAATTTTATTGTGATTTGGGTGAAAGTTTACAGAGCAAATTCATTTTCCATACAGCATTCCATACACATTTTGTTTCATGATATTGACCACGATTCCCCACAATGTAACACTTTTCTTCCCACTTCTCCCGACAGTTTCCTCTCCCCGTGTCATTCCCTCCCGTGCACTCCCACCTCCCAAGCTGTTTCCCTGTGCAAACACTGCCCTTCTGTAGAACAGGGATAAAATATTTTTGAGCCGTTCTCTTCTTGTTAGACATTTACATATTCTTTGATGTTTTAAGCAGCACTGTAAGGTTATTTTACCCAAATAAAAATGAGACAACATCAAATAATTCCATGGATTCTGAATTGACCTTGTATAAGTCCCAGGTCTTGATTAGAGAAGAAATGTCCAATTATATTTTCCCTCACATTTTATAATAAAGAAAGAAAGTTGATTCTTAGGAAGATCTTTAACAATAGTACTTAATCTCAGCGGACTCAAAAATTTAAGTAACACAAACAAAGCAGTAAGAGTTTTTGCAGTCTTCCAGCCCTCTCAGAGGGATCAAGAGAAGTTCTCCAGACCTGGTCAAGTCAGAGATGCTACTGGATGCAACCACCACGGTTCTCCCAACTCATATTTACCCAGTTCTGTCTCTTCCTGCAGTTCTTCTCTGCTTTACTTTCTAAAGAAATAACACACACATACATACGTACACACAAAACCCCTTGCCATTGAGTTAATTCAAGGTCATAGTGACCCCATGTGTGTCAGGGTGGAACTGTGCTCCATAGGGTTTTCAGTGGCTATAATTTTTAGTCCCTAAGGTGCTTGACTGCTAACCAGAAGGCTGGCAGTTCAAACCCACCAGCCACTCCTCGGAAGGAAGGTTGGGCAATCTACTTCCGTAGTGATACTGCCTCAGAAACCCAAGAAGGGGTTGCTATGAGTCGGGCCCAACTCGACCACACATAACAACAACAACAACAACATAATTTTTTGAAAGTAGATCTCCAGGCCTTTCTTCCTTGGGGCCTTTGGGCAGATTTGAACCAATAACCTTTTAGTTACCAGTGAAATGCTTAACCATTTGTGCCACCCAGGGACTCTTATTATTCTCCAGACTTGCTTAAATTCAGGCCACTGACTAAAACAGGACTCATAGAGTCAAAGTGTCTATAGGAGACATCAGGCAACATACAAGAGCTAAGTGAACAAAGTGCCAAATACACCAAGTTTTCTCTTCGTACCCTCTGCACAAGCCATTCCTTCTTCCTGCAGTTGTTTTCCCTTCCATTTCAGGTTTTTTCTAGTTTATCAACATTTTAATACACCCTAAAACCCTTTCTCATAATTCAATCATAAATAAAATAGTACGTGTGTGGATTCAGGACTTGCCTGTGTACAGGATACGGCTGATCATTCCCGGCATCACCATGAGGAACATGGGCAGCAGCTTCAGGTACCCACACATGATACAGGCAGCCTTCACATGAGACATGTCCTTGCCTGAGAGGCAGCGCTGCACGACGACCTGCCAGGAAAACACAATGCATTTGGGAAACAACTTGAGGATGACTTTAAGGAAGGTGAGTGTCTCTTTTCAGGGTTTAATTTCTACATAAAAAATGATGTCTTGATTAATGGAAAATAAAGGGCTTTGGAGTGAGATCAGGACTCAAACTCCAGCTTCTCTCACATGGTATTTGACCTCTATGAGTCCAAAGTTTCTAATCTCTAATGTATGGTTATCCCTTGCAAGGCATTCCCAATATTTGGCATAATGTATGTAAGACTTTTGATATGTAACGATTCTTCTATGTCAATAAACATCTTTATATGGTTACAGCTCCCAGGCTGCAAAGCAACAATGGCCATGTGTTCCTCTAAGTACAAAGTTCCTGCTACTGCTCCCTGCCACAAGTTGTGTATTTAAGTTGTGCCTTAATATTTCAAGCACTAAGTAAGCCACATACTCATCAGTAACTCCATTCCTTGAGAATCAAACCTGTCACCATAGAAATGAAATAGTCAGGGAGCCAACAGAGATCACCTTGAGTCTTTCTTCTCTAGATTTTTTTCTGAATAATTCTGAGAAACTCATCTAGTTTTGAATTAAATATTACTGTTATGGGAAAATTAGCATAATGATTTTGTAATTCTTAGTTAAGTTGTCCAATCTCTTGACTATGAATTTTCTAGTAAAGTGGCATTTCTACCAAAGATGGCGCAACTTCTTGATGCTTTTATTCTCAAGGACCATCAACAAATATGGATGCCTTTTCTCTGCCTAATTGCCTCTGGAGAGGAAAATCCATTAACGTTGTCAATCAGTGCTGGGGGAGAAGATGGCCGTTTTACACAGAGGGCTTAGTGCAGGTGGTCAACAGGGCAACACACACTACAGTGATGAGGGAAGCCTGTCAGCGGACAAGCAGGGTCAGGCATCAGGTCTGAGGGTAACGTGAGGCAAGGCAGAGGATAAGAGGTGAAATAAGTAAAATGATGATTCTGCAAATCAATGGTGAAAGGATGCATTCTCTTTTAGATACTTTGGAAAAACTAGCTCATTGAATAGAGAAGAATAAGACTGGATCCCACACTAACTGACAAGTAACTACTGATTCAAGATGGGTTATGGGTTGTGAAATTACAAGCTTGAATGTTACAAAGACTATCCAGACAGAAGAAAATTTCAAAAACACAAGCAAACAAAAACAAATATGTGCTATAAAACAGACAAAAATAAAAAAATTAAGGAGACTTGGAAATGAAAAATGCAAAGGCAAAAAAAAAAAGAAAAAAAACTGGAAGTTAAAGTTGGAGATCACTTAGGAAGTAGAATAAAAAGACTAAGTTATGGAAAATGGGGAGAAAAAAACACCAGGGAACCATCTCAGATAATCCAAACATGTTGTTGTTGTGTTGTTACGTGCCGTCGACTCAGACTCGACTCATAGCAACCCCTCCTTGGGTTTCCGAGGCATTATCACTATGGAAGTAGATTGCCCAACCTTCCTGCCAAGGAGTGGCTGGTGGGTTTGAACCTCTAGCCTTCTGGTTAGTAGTCAAGTGCCTTAGGCACTATGCTACCAGAGCTCCTAAACATAGAAGGTCCAAAGAAGAGAAAAATAAATGGGAGAGATCAAAGAAAGAAAAATAAATGGAAGAGATCAAAGAAAGAATCTCTCAGAATTACCCAAGAATAAACAGGCTAATAGTTGCCCCAGCACAATGGACAGAATAGATCCACAACGAGACACACTGTGGTGAAATTTCAGTACAGCAAGGACAAAGTAAAGTAGAACTGGTGAAACCCCTGAGACTATGGTCTCTAGTTACCCTTTGGGCTTGGAATGTAACTCAATAGACAGGCATATAAGGTGAACATTTACATCAAGTAGGTACACTTCTTAGAATACTCATAGCAGATTAGAAGGGAGGGAGATAGCTCAGTGGGCAGGAATGAATAGGAAAGGACACGGGGGAAAGGTGACCACACAGAGGAAGTCAGAAGAGAGCTATTACATCATGGGGATTGCAATCAATGCTATGAAACAAAATGTGTAAGAATTGTGGTATTGAAAATGAATTTGCTGTAAACTTTCACCCAAATCACAATAAGAAAAAAAAGAAAATATGATTTAAATCTATTGGGAGCCTGAGAGTTCAGGAGGTGTGGTGTACTTGTGTGTGACTGAGGATGGAAAGCTGGGAAAAAAAAAAAAAGCTAATTTATCACCTTTCATTTTGGAAAGCCAATAGGAAACTGAAAAACCAAGAGGAAGTAATACAAGTATGCAATTTAAATCACTTGTGCATCATGCAAACAAGCAAATTCTAGTTCAAATGATCAAGGTAGGGTAAAAGTCTTCATTCCTAATGAGCTGCAAAGTGATGTTCATGCTGATGGTCCACAGAGTACACACTGAGTGGAAGGATTTAGAAAATAGAAATAAATCCCAAAATCACAAGAGAAAAAGCTTAAAGTGTTTGTCTCTGAGAGACCAGAAATAGAGAAGATAATAGTACAGCTATTTGTCATGACAACCCTGGTAGAATTGTTTGAGTCTTGAAAGAATGTGTGTGTGTAATTTATTCACAGAATGAAAACAAGAAGCTTTTCTCTGAGAAGAAAAAGAACAACATAAGCACACACTTATACACATCACCTGATCTGTGCACCAGTACCACATAGCCACAATGGTCATTCCAAAAATCGTGCCTGGCCATGGAATATCCCCAGTGACAGCATCTTGGAAAATGTGGAAAGAGTCGGCCTGAGGAGTGTAGCACCTGGAGCTGATTGTCAGGTTGTCACCCTCGACTATGGACGGGATGGCGTTCATATACTTCTCTGTGAAACTCTCGTAGCCGCCAACTTCAGAAAATGCTGAAAAGACATTTTCAAATGAAATTTTCCAATGAAATGTCTTACAGAAGCCTAAGACCCCTGGTATTCATTACTATTCCTTTGTAGTGGAGGCGCTCAAGCACGTCAGGTTGGTCCAGTCCTCTGAACCCTTTTCATAGGACCCATGTCCTTTTAGTAGCCACTGGTATGTATCATACTGCTAAGTTTATTTTCACAAAGTAGATAAAGTATATCTCTCTTTAACTTTTCTTCTTATGGTGCTATTTAAATCTTTGATGCAATTTTTAGCCTTATGACAAAATTAAGATTGTTACCCAACAGACCAATATTGATGTCTCACTACCATTCAGAGAAAAAACAAACTTAAGGATGAGCTAACAGTGAACCTAAAACAATTAACCCTCAGACAGTCTCAACACCTCTGAGAAGGACTGGAAATGATGGTCTCTCCTCCTGACACAAAGCTGGGCCTGGACCTGTATGATCTTACCCCAGTCTTGTTTTCAAGAGAAGCACTATGTTCTGCCTCTACTACTATTTTTAAAAATGGGAAAGATAAGTAGCAGAAACTGGGGCAGCAGGTGAGATGCATGTGGAAACAACGAGACAAATCCCATTGTGGGTCTAGAAAGGTTAGTCAATAGAAAAGAACTATGGTGAGTGGAAACTCAGAAAGGTCAGTCCAGGCCCTGAGAATTGCTTCATATAGGTTCAAATGATGCAAAATTTATCAAAATATCATACAGTCATATGTTGTTTAATGCCCATGGTACACTCTGTGAAATAGGATATTATGTGATTGGGATGTTATGTGAACACCATATTATATATGGTAGTCCCTGGATTATGAACAAGTTCCATTCCCAACTCTGTCTTTAAGTCAAGTTTGTACCTACAATTCATATGTAATGTTAGTTAGTCAAGTGTTTGTCTTAGTATATGGTATACCTTTCTATGCATAAAAACATTAACAAAACATGTCAAGATACACTAAAACATCTTTAACATAATAATATAGTAATAATCAGTATATTTTGATGCACATTCCAAACCAGGGCCCATTTGTTATTATGAAAGAATATATATCTCAAAATTTTAATGTAACAGGTTTCACAGGGGTTGGGATCACAGATGCATATGAGTCACACATTGCCATATGGACATTATGTGGTGCATGATTGTAATTATAGAATTTAGGTTGACATTAATTTACTTCTTTGACAGTTATTTTATTGATCACCTACTGTTTGCCAAACATTGTGCTGGGAAGTAAGGATGTGATTATATATAAAATGTATGTGAAAACAGGACCTTAGCCTACTGTGTATGGGGGGAGACAAGTAACTATAATGCAGAGAAATTTACTTAATAAGAGAAATACAGTTTGTAAAATTAAAAAAAAAAATACACGGGGGATTCTATGTGATGAGGATTTCTCACCTCCTCATACCAGGAATAAAAGGAGGGAGGCTTAGAGAGACTGAGTTATTACGAGGAAATGCATCACTGATGCCAGAACCCACAGACCATGAACAAGAATGGCCTACAAGTTTTCGCTAACTAAACAGAAACTACACAAGGAATTTGGTACTAGGAATTGTTTCCAGATCATCCCTGTGCGGCAGACCTTTCTGTAGCAACAGACTGTTCTATATATGTCCATTATGGTAGCCATTACTCATATATTGGACACTTGGAATACAACTAATTACTAAAGAACTGAATTTTAGATTT